AAAGCACTAGAAATCAGTGGCGCTATGAGTTTGATGAATTTAAAAGGCACTTCATCGCTGGTATCTGAGCAAGAATTTTTTGCTTCACGTAATCTTTTGCACACTTCATCATCAGTCACATAGAGTCACGAAAGTCAGTCACGAAATGACAAATATCATACCCAATATTGTGAAAATGTTGACAATTTATTTATAAGACCCAAAATTTTTTTGAGCCCCGCAAAAGTTTAGACACAAAACTGTCAAACTTAATCCGATGGAGGCGAAGAATCCGATTTGAGGTACTGCATGAGAAACCTTTATCCAGTGGAGATAACTTTCAGTGGTTGGCATTTTTATAGTTCTGAATATAAATTGGAGTTTATGCCATTGTACACCCCAGGCACAAGATGCCGGAAATCGGACACAGACCGGAAATAAACTACCAAGGTGCGTTCTATTAGAGGTTTTACGGTAAATAAAATTTCGGAGATTTTGTTTATCCGGTAAGTGTTGTATTACGAATTGTCACTGTTTTTCAAATCTCGAATATAATTTCAAAACGTTCAAAGCTACAATGCTGGATTTCTCACAATAAATGCAAGTGTACCAAACATCTTTGGTATTTGCTTGTAGATAAGCGCTAGATCGACCATGTTTAGAACGAATAGAAAATATGTGTTATGTGGTCTTTTTATGTAGATCATCTACGTTGATAATAGCGATTTTCGAAAATTAGCACTATTGCAACACACATAACTGAAAAGAAAAAAATTTTGGCAAGCTTCATTTTTTGACATTTCCCGAATTTGAAAAATCTTGGAAACAAACATTAAAGGAAATTGGAAGTTTTCAAAATTCCAGAGTATTCAAAACATTACAACAACCAGAAATTCAGAAATTCCGAAAAATCCAAGACAGTTAGAAACTTTAGTTTCAAGGAAATTCGAAAAACCGACATTTACAGAACTTTCAAAAACGCCGAAAGTTCAGAAATCTGAAATTTCGAAATTTTCTGGAACATTCCAGAAAATTTCAAAAAACAGCGCTCACCAATAATCAAAGTCAACAACAAATAAAACTGATAGACCATTGGAACATCTAACCAACCCAATAGACCCATTCCATAACCACTAACTGTTGGAAAATTGAAAACGGGAATTATCAAAACTGTCAGTGTCCAATCCTGTGCCATACACCAAAAATGAAGTGTGAACAGTGAGATTTTCATTGATTTCATTGTTTTCAGAGTTCGAAATAGGATACAAAATGCTCCAGTGAAATGAATAGGCTATTAAGGAAATAATATGTAGTGAATGTTCCAGAAAGTTCGTTGTTTCTAGGTACATTTTTTGAGGTGGCTGAAAAGGCGGAAAACGGAAAAAAGTGAATGAAAAGTGTCTAGATGAGAAAAACAAATTATATGCTTTCCTGGTCAGAAGTCTTGATGTAGACGTTTTTGAGTCAGTCAGTTACTATGGAATAAATATAACATACTTGTGGAAAAGATGGCCGGCCCGCGGGCCGGGCTGAAATTTTTCTAAAAGCGGGCCGGGCCGGGCCGGAAAAAATTACACATGGCCGGCCCGCTTTTCGAAAATTTCGAAATTTTAGAGCAAATTATCATTTTTAAACATGGCTTTTCTCCTTAATAAATAAAAATCCACACTAGAGGACGATTCTGTCGAAAAAACTGTTTTGAGGTCGTTTTTAGAAAAAAAATTTCATTCTTGGCTTAATGAAGTTTGATTTTTTTTGCTAAAAATTCAATTAAATTGACTTTTTCGGATGGTTGTATGCATTTGGGTTAATATTTGTGATGTTAAAAATATATTGGCACATTTGAAAAGTAAAATTTTCGAAAGTTGTTTTAGGTGGGCCGAGGGTTTTGAGGCAAGCGGGCCGGCCCGGCCCGACCCGGCCCGGCCATCCACATGTATGAAATATAATTATTAAGGAAAATTTGATTCATTCGGATTTGATTGAAGACGTGGGTAGTTTTATCGGCTCAGAAAATTAAAGAAACTACACACACAATTATATTAAGAACCAACCTTATCCTCAAGACTTATGTTTTCTTTATTAAAGTGATAGAGCATTTTTTGAATTAAAGAAATCGCAAATTTACAAAATTCAGTTCAAAAAGATAACAGAAAAGTTCACATAGTCGGAGCAGAAACCATCGATATCGTTGTAGTGACCACTTTTTGTTTTCGAAGTCTCAACCATACCAAAACTGTATTTTTATAATTCGGTATAAAATAAATCACAACAATCGGATCGATTAGTGGAAACGCAGATAGACAAATGTTGCAGACATAATTGTTCCACCTGGAAACATCGAAATTTTAAATTCAAAAAATCCGAGAATCTCGACATGAGAAAAGCTCACCATGTCAAATTGATCAGAAAAATCGGAGCGTACCAAGCAATTATAGTTGGCAAAAAACTGGCAAACATTGGGATGCAAGTTTGAGCGACTAGAGCTTTGAAAAGTTGACGATTTAAAGTAATACTGATGTTTGACATCGCTTGACTTTCGTTCATTTTTTTCATGATTTTATATCCCAAAACGAAATAGACTGTCATACAGTACATGGGAATACGGTTAAGGAAGATATACCAATCCAACTTTTGTATACAACATAATCACTGGCGTTCTGAAATTTCGGAAATGTTCTTTTTCTTAAAGGTGGTGTGCGGTGAAAAATGTTATTGCTTTATTTTGTCCAGAAATCCATGTAGGTTCACATAAAAATAAAGAAAAAATTCAAAAAAAATTCCTTCATTGAGAAAAACGGCATCGAAAAGTCAAAGTTGTATCTAGTGGCCTAGCGGCCAGGTGCTAGTTTTCTAGGCCAACTGCCGGTAAAAGCGCGCGAAATTTGATTTTTTAATGATTTTCCGTGTTTTCTCTGATGTTTTTTAAAGATTTCAAAATGTTTTTGTAATTTTCCCAGGTGTATGAAAAAACCAGACAAAAATCAGAAAAAACACTGAAAAGCAATAAAAATTCAAATTTCGCGCTTTTACCTGCAGTTGGCCTAGAAAACTCACACCTGGCCGCTAGGCCACCAGATAAAACTTTGACTTTTCGATGCCGTTTTTCTCAATGAAAGAATTTTTTTTGAATTTTTTCTTTATTTTTTATGTGAATCTACATGGATTTCTGGACAAAATAAAGCAATAACATTTTTCACCGCACACCACCTTTAAAGAAGGGGAAGGGACATGAAAATATATTTCTCAAGAATTCGTTTATTTTTTATATAACGTACTTTCCATTTGTTTTTTCGGCCATTTTGACCATCTGCAGGAGACTGCAGCTGTCATGTTTTCGATCACTTTGAAAAACTTGGAGGGTGTAAAACAGACGTAGCTTGAAAACTTTGCATTCACAAAATTCTTTGAAAATTCCTAGTTTTTCAACTATTTTCCGATTTCTGAAAGACACCCACTTTTGGCCCGTTTTTGTACTGAAAACGTGGAAAACAGGCATCTTTCAGAAGTCGTCAAATAGCTGAAAAACTAGACACATTTTTAAAGTTCTGTGAAAACAAAGTTTTCAATATAGGTATCTTTTACATCTTCCAAAACTTTCAAAGTGATAAACTTGACAACCGAGCCCCAGACCCCTAAAAATGGTAATTCAAAATTAATTTATTGGAAATTCTGTGTATTTCTGATCTAGACCGCTCTTTTTATACCAATTTTCTAGATACAGATATGATTATAGATACTAGATACGATTCAGATTTTTCTCAATTTTCTGGCATTGAAAAATTGAACATTGAAAAGTTGACAAATACTACAGAATTCAAAAATTTATGACAAATTATTCGAGAAATGTAGAAATTCCGAAAAAAACGTCGTTCAAAAACGTCCGGTTTCAAAATAATTAGTTTTCAACAACCAACCCTATACTGTCCTGTCAGCAATGAAATATAGTCAGAATTGACATGATGTACTTCCAAAAATGATGGTCTTATGATATCCCGAATCTCTTCATTTGGAGCCAGACATTCTTCACAAATCCATGTCCAAAATGCTCCATGAGTCAGAAAGAATAGAGTCATCGCCATGATTCCAAGAGGTTTCAACATTTTGTCCACATGATGGGGACTTTAAAAAGGTTTTTTTTGGCTGAAATTTTTTCAAGAACTTACTAAAAGAGAATGAGGTATCGGTACACAAAATGAATGATTAGGACTGCGTAGCTCATTGAAACAAAGCAACATCTGGACGAAACTCCATGAAGACCGTATTCCAAATTTTCAAAAAATGGACCATCTGTGATGAAGGTGACGAATCCGTAGCCACTGTTTAGGACAGCCTGATAAGATTTATTTTTGAAAACTCAGATTTAAATATTCAACTTTTTTAGTTTCCGAATGTATGGATTTTCAACAATATTTTCAATTTTCTAGAAGTTTCAGAACTTCCGTAATTTCCTAATTTTCTGAATAACTCACGATTGGTGTTAACAGCTCAGCCATTGAATAAACCATATCAAAAACCGCAAATCCAATTAACAAAAAGCGATAATTTCCCATTTGACTTCTCGATTTTGTAAGGACCAAATAAATGAATAAAGGATTTATGATAAAACTAAAAATGGCCAAAATTTTTGGCACATTGTGATGGTACCAATTTACATAAATCATTTTCAGAGAGAAAATAAAATTCTCGAAATCTCTGAAGTTCTGGAAATCAAGAATCCAAAAGACGTCGCGATTGTTATTCGGGTAATTTTTTTGAGGATCTGACAAATACGAAAAACAAGTATTTGTATTTTGTGAAATTACGAGGAAAATCTAGATGGTGATTCATTTTTCTGAACTTCTGAAATTCTGAAAATCTGAAATTCTGAGATGACAGTAGTATGTGTCATTGTTTATCTCCAAACCGTCAAGTTCGACAAACTTTTTCTCATACATGTGGATGCCTTTTTCTCATACTGGATGCAAGCGGGCCGGGCCGGCCCGCTTGCCTCGAAACCCTCGGCCCGGCCCGCCTAAAACAACTCTTCGAAAATTTTACTTTTCAAATGTGCCAATATATTTTTAATAGCACAAATATTAATCCAAATGCATACAACCATCCGAAAAAGTCAATTTAATTGAATTTTCAGCAAAAAAATCAAACTTCATTAAGCCAAGGATGAAATTTTTTTCTAAAAACGACCTCAAAACAGTTTTTTCGACAGAATCGTCCTCTAGTGTAGATTTTTATTTATTAAGGAGAAAAGCCATCTTTAAAAATGATAATTTGCTCTAAAATTTCGAAATTTTCAAAAAGCGGGCCGGCCCGGCCCGCTTTCAGAAAAATTTCAGCCCGGCCATATTTTCCACAAGTATGCTTTTTCTCGGTTCCTATGAAATGAATCCAAAAATGGTCAACTCGCAAAATGTTGTTGATATTATGATAAGAATTTTGTCAGTTGATTAATTTTTGATATCTCAAACAGGAAACGAGACAATTAGGGTCAAAGGGACTATATTTTTCAAAAAAGTTTCACAGATATCAAAATTTTTAATTTCAAGTGTTATTTCAACGTGATGAAAAAACTGAATTTTTTCTGGATTGAAATCAGCGTCGCAGAAAAATGTTTAAAACTTTTTGAATTAATAGAACAAAAAAAACCACGTGAAATGATTTGGAAGCTTCTGACCCTGGATGGCCCATTGACCTCTGGGAGAGAATTATAAAGGAAGCAGGAAGTGGAGGGAAGAATCAGTTCTTTCCTTCTCTGGGCTCCACAGAAGGGAGGGATCCGGGGAAGGGGTCCGGGTACTGCAGCCCGGGTCCTACAGTCCGGGTGCTGCAGCCCGGATCCTGCGGTCCATGCATTTGGAGCATTCCTGTTGGTTCAGACTGAGAACAAGAAAGAACCTAACAAAGGAAGGTTTTTCAGACAACGGTTGAGAATTTGCTCAGAATTTGTACAAAGGTACTTTCGAACACGCTGAACAGACATGAGCGGAATAAAAATTTTGAAAATCCGGAATAAGGAATAAGGAATAAGGAATGAAATTTAAAAATCAGGAATAAGGAATAAGGAATAACAATTTTAAAATCCGGAATAAGGAATAAGGAATAAGGAATGAAAATTTTAAAATCCGGAATAAGGAATAAGGAATAGCTGAATCCGAATCCAAAAAAATTTTTAGCCCGTTCTCAAAAGGAACCGAAATATGGCCTCTGAAAGTGCTTTTAGTACTAAATTTTGGCCAAAAACATACATTTTTCGAGGTTAAAAATTAGGTTTTCAGGATTTGCTTGAGTGCGAAACTCATTTTTGGACATTTTTTATCATCTAAAGTAACTTTTAAACATTTTCAAAAAAAATTTTGAAAAAAATCACCATGGGGTCCCCCACACTTCGAAAATGATTTTTTGAAAATTTTTTTTTAAAGTGCGAAAAAACGTTCCAATTATTCAGAAACGATGAAAAATAGCATTCTGACAAATTTTTTCAGCCCAATGTTGTCTTTGGGCTCAAAAAATCTCCAAAATCTGATTGTTGTTAGAACTTCGACAGTTCCTAATTTCTGAAATATCGCTTGAACTCAACTGAAACCTATAGAAATAGGTTCGAATCTTGTATGTGATCGATTTGACAGTACTCCACCTCAAAAAGAGCAAATCAACTTTTATAGACTGAAATTTTCGTTTTTAACCAGGGTTGTCCAAAAGGCCGGCCTCGGCCGGCCGAAGGCCTCGCGCAATTTTGTGCGGCCGAGGCCGTCGCAAGTTCGCTTCATTGAGAAAAAAACATTCAAAGTTGACAAAAACAAGTAGAGTGAAATGCTTGGAAAAAGAATTTGTTAGTCACTAAATGCTGGCGAAAGGCCGAATTTGTCAGATTGGCAGAGGCAAAGATTTCTCAACCGAAAATCGAACTTACACTAATTGAACCCTTTGGGAAGAGAAAATTTGTCTCGGTTTGAGAAAAAAATCGAAGAAAAACTTAAATATCAGGACAACATTTTTCACCTGTTTTGTGAAAATGTCTGAAAAACTAAGTAATATGGTTGGACCGGGAAATTTG